TAGTTTCAAAAAGTTTCCAGATGGGTTGACTGACAAGACCAAAGTTATATATGTGAACTGTTGGTGTGAACTTAGTTATCACCGTAGCACATGCACTTAGAAATAACACCTGATGCCAAACACACGCTCCTCCACCGCCCCCACTTTATGTCAAAGACCTATGTATTCTGTACAGTATCCATCCATACTGTATGGATGAGCAACTAAGAACAAACTGAGAAGCCCTTTGCTACTTTATTTTGTATCACCCTGTTTTGATCCATAGAAAGGGAAGTTGAAGGGGCTTTTTTGTTACCAATTTCACATGTTATATCGAATATTGTGCTTTTTTTCACTCAACAGTTCGGAGACTTAAAATCAGTTGGTAAGGCTTTATATTAAGGTGTGCTTGTTAAGTATTAATAAGGTATTAATAGACATTAGCAACATGCTTATATATTGCTTATATGTACTTATAAACATATTGATAAGCTGCTCATTTCACTATTCTCTAAATGATGTTTTTCTAGTTATATGCTTTTAAGCATTTAATAAGTAATTAGTAAGATACTTATTAAAGGAGGAATATGTTTATAAATATATGAATAAGCTGCTTATTAAACTATTATCGATACCATGTTAATAGGCCACTAACAATATGCCTATAAAGATATTAATACGCTGCTTATTAATAGGTAATAGTGGTAATAGGCCACTAAAAATATGCGGTAATAAACTGCTTATTACACTATTTTGCAGTACCCTAATCTAAAGCGAGGAGCATTTTTGTTAATGCAGAAAAAAACACAACAATGATCTAAGATGTTTTTATTTATTCAAACAGCAACATTTAAAGTCTAAATGAAAAAAAATATCAAAATTAAGTTTGTGCCAAAAGTTTGTTAGTAACTTCGAGGAGCCATGATGAACCCACACATGCTCCGACCTGCTCTGTTCATGAATTTGGCTTTGGCAAAACAGTGAATCAACTGACTTCACGAGCCTGAGAGATTAGCGGAACTCGCCTATTTTTGGGCATTGTCTGGTCCTCCCTGTTCTGCGCAGTGGACGAGCTCCCATGATGCTTTGCGCCAAATACGCTTGCGTGACTGTCATGCACGTGCACAGAGGGGCCGTGCTCTGACCAATCAGAGCTGCTGATCAGAGCGAGAGTTAGAGCGGGAGTTAGAGCGGGAGCCAGACGAGGAGAGTTTGTGGCCGTAAAATGTGGATTTAAAGGACAACTCACCCTCAAATCCACTTTTTTTTTTGCTGATAAACGGTATAAATGAGTGTCCAATTGTGTTGTCTACATATCCTGGTCATAATTTTGTCACTTTGGTGCAAATTAGTTGAAAGTTAAACTTTCTGCCTAAAACCATCTGTGAGGCGCCATCTGCTGGCGACCTGTATTACTACATTTGAATTTTGAATCTGGCGCCTGAGACCTGACGTGAGCAGCCCCCCGCCCAGAGCTATATAAACGGCCCAGTCTCGTTCACGCCCCCTTTAGTCCTCCAGGCTACGCCCATTTAGAGGAAGATTTGAACAGGAAATGTGAGTGACGTAAGCTTCGAGGAGCGGGGGTGAGAACCACTTTAAAGAAAACTGAAGGATTGAAGAAGAAAAAAAGTTCAGGATGACAAGGGACACTAAAATCTCCAGAAAATCCGAACTTTATGAAAGCTGTGGGTTCTCTGTCAGGTTCTCTGTCAGCTGAGGTCGAGCTGTTTTAATTTACATTGAGTTCTATGGGACTTTTTCTGGGTAGCCCTCGTGAATTTAATCTGCAGTACCACAGCGCCCCCTGTGCCCATGGGTGGGACAGCTATAAGCTAGGAATACACTATCCAGTTATTATTATAGTTCCATGGTTGTGCCACAGGTGCGTTGTATACAGTGTTGTGCGTGAACGAGTTCAAAAGAACGCGTTCATTGAACACGCTCATTTTTTTGTGAACGTTGAACTGAACGCAACACACTTTTTTAAAAAGAACTTGAACGTGAATTAGTTCATTTTATGTGTCATGAACGGCAGACATCACTATGAACGTTGGAATCTGTTTTCTCTTTTGAAACGCAACGAGAGAAAGTTCCTCCCTCCTGTATTCTCGCAGTTTTTCCGCCAAAATCAAAAAAATCTTACGGTTTCCACTGTCTGTGAACGCACCCCGACTCTGTGTTGCGGTGCGGCGCTGTGAGCTGGTGCTTTTCACATGTGCCCGAGTCGTGATGAAAACACAGGGTGAGTTAGCGACAAAGTTTACACCGTTACATTTGACATAAAGTATAGACACACGCACTGCAGCGCATTACTGTCTGTAGTTTATGAGCAGAGATGGAACAACTCCGTTTTGCTCCCATTGAAAACCATGTAAATCTTGTCTGTTTTGTAGACAAAAGGCTCTCCTCCTGTGGGTGTACAGGAGAAATATATATATATATACCTCCTATATATATATAGGAGATATATATATATATATATATATATATATATAGCTCGTAGTGTGAAAAAAAAGTATTTATTTGACTATTTCACAAAAAATAGTAAAATGAACTGAACTTTGAACTAGTTCAGAATTAAAATTGTGAACTTTGAACGTGAACTGTTCACTTTGAGCATGTATGAACTGAACTTGAACTAGTTCAGAAAAGCTGTGAACTGGCACAACACTGGTTGTATACATGGATCTATTATAATAACTGGATAGGGTATTACTAGCTTGTAGCTCGGGAGATTCTCGTGGTACTGCAAACTAAATTCACGTGGGCTACCCAGAAATTGTCCCCATAGAACTCAATGTAAACTAAAACAGCTCGACCTCAGCTGACAGAGAACCTACAGCTTTCATAAAGGTCGGATTTTGTGGGGATTTTAGTGTCCCTTGTCATTCTGAACTTTTTTTTTTTAAATCCTTCGGTTTTCTTTAAATCTACACTTTAGTGCCACAAACTCTGCCCGCCTGGCTCTTACTCCCGCTCTAACTCCCGCTCTGATCAGCAGCTCTGATTGGTCAGAGCGCGGCCCCTATGTGCACGTGCATGACAGCCACGCACGCGTATTTGGCGCAAAGCATCATGGGAGCTCGTCAACTGCGCAGAACCGGGAGGACCAGACGATGCCCAAAAATAGGCAAGTTCCGCTAATAGGGTTGTGACGATACTTTCTCCCGCGATTCGATTATCGATATGCATTTGCCAAGTATCAAGATCAATTTTGAAAAAAAAAAAATATATAGTTTTTTTTTCTCCTTTTTTTTCGTTTTTATTGGTATCAATACTTAATATATGGCTACATTACACATCTCCATTCTATTTATCATGAAATAAAGAGTCTTTTTTATTTTATTTATGCCATAAATTGGCATATTGTATATTTCTGACCAATATATCAATAATCGTCATATCGTGATAAAATCGTTATTGTAATCTTTATCGTGAGATTTGTATCGTGTATCGTATCGTATCGTGAAGTACCCTTAGGTTCCCACCCCTGTCCGCTAATCTCTCAGGCTCGTGAAGTCAGTTGATTCACTGTTTTGCCAAAGCCAAATTCATGAACAGAGCAGGTCGGAGCATGTGTGGGTTCATCATGGCTCCTGAAGTTACTAACAAACTTTTGGCACAAACTTAATTTTGATATTTTTTTTCATTTAGACTTTAATTGTTGCTGTTTGAATAAATAAAAACATCTTAGATCATTGTTGTGTTTTTTTCTGCATTAACAAAAATGCTCCTCGCTTTAGATTAAGGTACTGCAAAATAGTGTAATAAGCAGTTTATTAACGCATATTTTTAGTGGCCTATTACCACTATTACCTATTAATAAGCGGCTTATTAATATCTTTATAGGCATATTGTTAGTGGCCTATTAACATGGTATCGATAATAGTTTAATAAGCAGCTTATTCATATATTTATAAACATATTCCTCCTTTAATAAGTATCTTACTAATTACTTATTAAATGCTTAAAAGCATATAACTAGAACAACATCATTTAGAGAATAGTGAAATGAGAAGCTTATTAATATGTTCATAAGTACATATAAGAAATCTATAAGCATGTTGCTAATGTCTATTAATACCTTATTAATACTTAACAAGCACACCTTAATATAAAGCGTTACCAATCAGTTTAAAATCATGGTCCGAAGAGGGAGGTAATATCGAGACTTCACTAGTTTGTCATATTGCATTTGATTGTAATTAGATTCAAAAACTCACATTAGATTATTAAGAGTCCTTTCTTCTGACCAACGTCATGTTTTTTGAATAGTGTGACTGATTTTCTAGACACCTTTATGAGAAAAAAACTAACATGGAAGACATGAAACTTTGTGATGGATTTTTTGTTTAATGTGGATTGACCCTGGTATTGGAGAAATTACCTTTAAACCAGGCGTGACCCAACTCTGTCCCTCTGTCTTGCTAAACCTAAAGGCGTCTTTGAGATTATACACATCAGTTCAGTGTCATCCAGCCTACCTCAGCTCTGCATATACAGACACGCTCATTGTAAAGCTCAGAACCTCTACAATCGTTGACTTTATTGACATTTTTGACCTACTCACGTTTGTTTTATTATGTCACCAAATCCCATATATAGGAATACATATATATACACAATGCTACTGTAGCTGTGGTGAGATAATACGGTTATCACACCCCAATGTAAAGTAAAAAAATAACAGGTAAATCCAGTCAAAATAGTTTTACAATCGTGTTTGTCAGCCCCTGAACAAGTCGGGTTAACTATAAAGTGGCCCTCGAGCTAAATAGTTTGGACATAGTCTAAGACTAAGACTAGACATCTGACTTTTGACCATTATTTTCAACCACAGTCTTAAACTATAAGATACAATAGAATTTATAGATCTCACGCTGGAGAAATTTACAGCCCTTTGCCATCCTGCGACATCACACGAATGCGCCTTACCGGTTTGTCCCGAAAGGCTTTGGAATAAGTCACATATTGATTGTTTATGATCTTGGGGTGTAAAAGTGCGCCGCCACACTCACCGTCCACACAGGAGGGTCTGTTCCGCGTGGTCCCGGCGACTTTCCCAGGGAGGCAGGAGCACTTGACTGTCTGAGAGCGTTCTTCAATTCGATTCTTGTTACAACATCTGTGAGCCGCAATTACCTCGCATGTGCCCCCCTCTGAGAACAGAACACACAACAAATTGCATTAAGTCGACCTGCTGGGTTCTCTAACAAGGCAACAACAAAACAGCACTCTCAGTCAACATCGTGAGGAAGAACGACCAGGAAAGAAAAGCTGAAGGATAATTAAAAAGACTGTGGGAATATAGTAAATAAAACACTTAGCTAAAGCAATTAACTTAGCCAATGAGGAATGATAAAATTCTTGTAATCCAAGCGAAGGTTAATTCAGATATGTCCAATATTCTGTCAACTGGAAACGCAGATCCTTAGAAAATTGTTTAAACTATGATAAAAAAAATAAAAAAATAAAAAAATAAAAAAACTATATGCTTGACTTATTGTATGCTAAGTGACATATATCGAGCATTTATATTTGGCTCACAGCTTGAAAAAAAAACAAGTGAGAAAAAAGTGAGGAACCTTGGGGAGGACCACAATGAGAGGGAGATCTTCAGCTCACAAACACAACAAACAAAAACTTGGCATAAATATGTCACTTTGCATGTTATGAGACTAGATCTTATATTAGTTTCACATTTTACACTGAAAAACAGAAATAAATGAACTTTTGAACAATAATATAATTTCCCCTGTCACAAAATTAAAAAAAAATTTCACACACTGTATGGACTTTGGTAATAGTCCTTCAACGTCACTGGGGCTTAGCTAAAGGACGTTACCCCTGGTGCATGTTTTGAGTGGTGAGGGGAAACCGGAGCGTCTGGAGAAAACCTGCCCAGACACAGGCAGAGACATGCAACCCCCACACTGAAAGGACCAGACTCTTTTTAAAATGAAGAAGGGAAAAATGAAGAAATCAGAAAACTATACTGTCAGAGCATGACTGTGTGTTAGATATATGTTGGGCTTTGGGCTTTTTACTAAAGCCCAAAGGACAAGAAAGGCCAGAGACACAGTCCAACAAACAGAAGAAAGTAGGAGGAGAGGAGTGTCCTTACCGTATGTGGCTGGAGTTTCAGAAACTACAAAAAATCTTTAGGCAACACAAAATCCCTGTGTATTTCAAACCTTTCAACACGTTAAGACAGAAATTGGTGCATCCCAAAGACAGAACACCCAGACACAAACAGAGCAATGTGGTGTATTCAATTAAATGTAGTGAAGAGGAGTGCACTGACCACTATATTGGAGACACTAAACAAACTCTACAGAAACGACTTCACCAACACCGTAGAGAAAACTCTAGTGGACCACAATCAGCTGTTCATTTCCACCTCAAGGACAAAAATTGGTTTGAGAGAGGGGTGAAAGAAGCCATTTTTGTGAGGAAACACAAACCTTCTCTTAACAGAGGAGACGGGTTAAGATTTGTTTTGCCTCGCATCTATGACGACATCCTAAAAACAACACCCTAACTTGGGACAAGGTCAGTGACATGGTAATGAGTTAGGAGGGGTGAGACCTGCACTCCACTTGAGCATCCCAGCAGACAATAGGTCTGTGACATGCTAAGGAGTTAGGGTCGTTAGCCTCAGCAGGGTCGTTAGACCTGCTCCCTGCTACATCAAGCAGACCTTAGATTGTTAATGAGTTAGTATCAGGATTAAGGTCTGGCTAACCACACCCATAGGTTATATATCTCTAACGCACAGTCTGCGATTTCATTCCTTTAGGTGAAGCACGAAACGTCAGGAAAACCTGCTAAGAAGTACAGATAATGGGTGAGAAACCTTCCTTTGCTTTGACTAATCCCTGCACGACTGAGAGCTTAAACAAACTTAGATATATGTTATTACATAAATCTAGGTTAAGTTACGTAGCACATATTTGATGGCATATTAGAAACAACAGGCTTGTGTGGTATAAGCTTTTGTTTATTGATGCAGAAATGAACTTATGAAGAGGTGAAAAATGAAAGAATGAATGGCATAAAGTTGTGTGAACCGTATGTAAGCTCCAGTATAATGCAAACCCAGCCCGCTCCTAATAGTACGAACATTGAGCAATAATAGTACAACTTCTTTGGTGTCTGCAAATCTATATTTCATAAATGCGAATCCATTACGGCGACAATATTAAAAGAGCTCTAAACAAGATGAATTATGCCTGTTCTCGACCATATTCTCATAAAGATGGCCCCTGCAGCTTGTTGAATGTATAATCACGATATAGATATATGCGCTCCAATTTGATAAATGCTTCTGTTTAGCAAAAAGTCTCGCCATAGCTTCAGGGTTATGAATGTTATCCATTTTGCAATTATCAGCCAACTACTGTCTATACGACCTGGGACAACCCTCCACCCAATATACCCCCGGCTGGCCTCTCCCTCCCACCACATTCTCTCAGTCAGACACACAAGAGCAGTGCAGGCGTCACATTAGGAGACAATTACAGCGCCCATCAGCATGGCTCCAGATCAAGGAGGCGGGTGAGAGGAAACAAAACCTAAGTGAGTGAGGAGTCTCTGTATCTGTACCGGAATGAGATCCGAGCTAATGTTTTACAATGAGGTATGTGCGGTGCATGTTATTAGCATAAATGTAAATGCAACTTCATGCTCAATGCGATTCCAGGTTATAAGTAGGCTATGTGCCATTTTTAGCTCAGAGCAACTTTTTCTTTCAAAATTGTAGTATGCTTTTTTTTTTGTTTTACCCCCTATTGGCTGTATGCAGATGTGTTTATGTAGCTTGGCATAACAATTTGGAGGTAATATTGGTTGGAGGTTGTGAACAAATGTCTTTGAATGTGGAATGTTAGGGAAAAAAACTGTGGTAAGAATTATACATTATTTTGGAGCATTAACAAAGATAATGAGACTATTTACTTTGGCAATTCATGTTTAAGAATGAGAAACAGTCTCTTCCGTAGAACATATATAGTGAATAAATCTGAATGGGAAATACTGTTTTCGGTTTGCTCTCTACCTATGCCATCACCAGAGGGAGGTGTATAATAAAAACATGAAATACAATGTCACAAATAAAAACACCACCTGCAATTGCCGCCATGTGATTGATGGGAAGAATGTCATTTGACTTGAGAAATTGCAAAAACAAATTCAGGGGCAATACTTTTGTTTTATAGGGCAAAAAAAAAAAAATTGCTCTGAGTGTGATATCAAAGTGGTACAATGACATCATACTATTACAGGAGCTTTTAGACAGAAGGGGCGGAGACACATGCTAGTGCCAGTTCCTGATATTAGCGAGGATGGATCTAAAAACAACTCCAGGTCTGTGACTGATGAGGAACAAGCCTTTAAAATGCATGTTCCAATCAGACTATACTTTACTTTGAATATATGCAAGTTCATTTACATTATATTATAGTGTAAAATGTATCACAGGATTAGAACAACTTTTGCATTATTCATTATTAGAATCCTAATTAATTAGAAAAGGATAAAATACTCTTGCATACGTTTTATAATGATATGTCTTTTTGAAACTTAATCACATCATGAAGAAATGTGTGCGGAGCTTCAGGACGTGAAATACCCCCAAAACCCTCATTGGAGTGACCAAAAATGCAAATATTACTAGTTTGACGACACAAAAGCATAAGCGATGGACAAGTGACCTGTCAATCACAGCCCAGACCACGTCCAACCCTAAGCCCCCCTTCTTGTCTCCTGGTCCTCCAGGAGACAAGAAGGGGCTTTTCAAATGTTCATGTGGGCAGAGGTGCATCACAGGTACAACACATTTTTTAGATTAATGCATTTCTGTGGTCATTACTAATGAGATAGCTGACCAACCCTGTGAATCTTTCATATATATATATAGCATATTGTTTTTTCTAAATCCCTGTGGGGACTTTTACTCAAACATGTGCAGATGTATTCTTAGTCCCCACCGCTGGATTAGTGTCAAATGTAATTCTCAAACTGTGGTGCATGTGTCTGTGGTGACTGATGGTATCTGAGCTTCGTATGGAGCACACAAAATACAGCATATTTATTCATCTTTTGGTAATTATTATTATTATTATCATTTGATCATGTTTGTCGTTGGCTGAGCAGTGATCTCAAACATTACTGAGCAGTTGGTGGATCACAAAAACCACAACAGCAGCTCAGTAAAAGCCTTTCTGTGAGATGTCTTATAACTCAGGAATTTGTTTTGTAATTGTATTAATATATTTGATCCTGTCGTGTGGTGAAGTGAAGGAGGACCCAAAAATGCAGGAATGTAAAAAAAAATACTCTTTTAATGACGATAACAAATAAAAGTGTGTGGAAAAACACAGCTACATATAGACAGAGACACAGGTGGAACACATGATGGCGGGAAACAGGAAACTGATATCAAAATAAAACTAATTAACAAATAATCCACACCATGACAGTTGTTTCATGCAAAATGATGTTAATCTCAATACATTGTTCACATAATAATAATAATTACAATATATACCATTTACCAATATACAGTACATTTGTTGTTTGAGATCCAACAAAGCAAAAAGGCCAGTATAGTTTCCATTGTTTCTTGATGTGCATTTGAAGAGAAGAAACATCCCATTTCTGCAGATCCACCAGAGGAAAACATGAATCACTGTCAGAATGTCTGGGGTTTCTTTAGTTATCAGACAAAAAAACACAAAATCACATCTTTTAAAACTATATTTGCCTGTTTCCCCGCACCTGCTGAAGTCGTTTATTCAGTTTATTCAAAAACACACATCACCTGCATCAGAAGAGTGTAAAATTGTAGACTGCAGTAACAGAGAGAACCATTGTGTCCTTTGGGGATGACACTTGATAATGAATACTGCTACTGGCCATATGGTAAATCACTGCCATATCATTTACTCACTCTGTACTTAGTGATTCATCTGTATTAGCGAATCATTGTGTGCAATCAGACTGCTTCTTTAACTCTAGAACTCCCGGAGCTTTCAATTTGACAGCTTTTAGTTTGGGAAGTGTAGTCACTCCTGGACTGGTTCTGCACTGGTCCTGGTTCTGAGCTGAGTCCGCGTGTTATTTTCACCAGAGATGAACCCGTACTAGCTACCATAGCAACACACTGTTTACTTGACAGCAGTTAGTATTCAAATGTCTTGGTACAAACTTTTTTCTTGTGCAGTTTTAGCACTCAATCAGTCAATCAATCAATCAATTGCTTGATTTTAATAAAAAAAAAAAAAAATTCTTCAGAATTCCATTGATTTGAATCAAAGCACTCATAATGACGGCTATTGAAGTCCCAGTGTCTGATCAGACTGATCATATTCCCCCTGTGTTAGACAATGTTACTTTCTTCTGCAATATAAATGTTTTTGCTCTGCATATGCATTGATGGAAATTACTTAAGATCAACGATCAACAAATTTGTTCATTTCAAAACCTGTACAAAAATAACAATGGATCCATCAGTGTATATCCATTAGTATGCAAAGATTATGTCTTTCACTTTCCGCTGGCCGCCAAGTGCTGCAGTGCCCATTTTATAAGTGCCTGTAACGTCCTCTATCACCTTATGTAGTTCATTTCTCGTAATATAGTTCAAAGAAATGCTTGAGGGTCTACGTCGGTGAACTATGCCACGGTCAGATGAATGTACTTTAACATTTTGGGTTTAGAGAAGGCAAATTGGGGAAAAAATTGCATTGAAAAAAATAAAACTCATTAATCATAATCATATACTATATATTTTTTCTGCTTGAGTGGAAAATTAGGTCTGCTTCTTGATTTGTAACACTCAAACAACAGCTGCTTGAATATCTCTATTTAATACATTGAGAAAAATGACATGAGTTGCCTAAATGAAAAGGATTGGAAGGAAGTGTAGGGGTTTTGCATATCATTTCAAAGCGCATCAAAAGAGACATTAAGTATAGCTTACTATCAGAATGTGTCCATATGTATTTCATAATGTAAGTGGTTAGGTTTTCTGACGTTTTGAGGGATAATGTTTGTGGGCCCCTAAACAATTCCTTGTGGTGCAAAAAGGCTCATTTTTTAGATGCAGATAAGTGTCGAATCATTCACAGCAGAGAATGCTGAAGACTTCACAGTTGTTGGAAACGTTTCAGGGATGTGTTAATTGGACCGCTCTCAAAGTGGGAGAACTGAGTGTGATTACAAAGCATTGATACAAAACATATGAATACAGAGTCTGTTTAAAAGCAGCACGGTATTCACTGGGATTATCCGGTCTCCTCTTTTAGTTTGGTCTCTGTACGCCCCACGGAGAAGCCTCCCAAGACTCCAGACCTTTGGGTAATTATCTTTTAGTTTCGATTATTTCAAGCACACAATAAAAACATGAACACTATGTACAGAAGAACACAGTGGTCGTAAGAAGTAGTACAACAAAGAATATTCACAGCGACTTTAGAGGTTTAACACTTATCTTAATAATTGCACTGTAATTGTAAAAAGCATACATCATACATACATATACAGATACAGAGAATGTACTGCAAATGGAATCTCACATTGTTATATCACGCCACCATGAACAACGACAAAACATATGCAGCGAGGAACTATGTGTTTTATTTCAACCTAGTCAACAAACCATGCAATTTAAGTGGGGGAACAGTGTGTCTGCACCATTTAAAGCTCTGTCAATGCGACTAAAATCAGGTAAAACTGGGTGTGTGTGGTTGGAAGTTTTGTCCTGAAGCCTGGAGTTGAGCAGGACATCAACTTTAAGAGTATGATTATGATCTGTCGGACCAAAGAGGACATGCTCATGATTTTTCCTGACTTTTGGCTTGCCAATGTTGTGTCAAATGTAACAGGAAAAACATAATATCGCTGCAGAAGCGACTGATGGCAGTGACATTTACAGAGAGTGCAGGATGCTGTATGCGCAGGTAAAGATTCGGCTTCTGCTTCGGCTTCTGCTCAACTGATATAAACTGTTTCAGTCATACTGTACACCGCTGTACTTGGCCGACCTCTGGACTCACTGTGAAAGAGCCAGTCTGCACAAGCTGCAGGTGGCCTACAGTGACACTTTTCGAGTGCTTATGAGAAAGCCACAATGGACCACAGTCTGTAAAGTGTCACCTCACGATTGAACACTGTACAGACTGTGCCGAGGAGCCAGAAAAAAAAAAAACACTAGTGCTGACAAACATTAGAACCAGTGCCATTTGAGTTATGTCCAAGATGTGAAGGGTTTTGGTATGGCTATCTTTTAAAGTCATGTTTGTTTAAAGTCATTATTTTAATTATACGAGGGGCTGATGCTATGTGTACTGGGTGCAGATCTGACTGCCACCCCCCTGACCCAGAAATGGATTAAGGGGAAGAAAATGGATGGATGGATGGATTTTAATTATACCTCAAGTCTGTAATAAAGTTTAATTGAATTTAAT